TCTCGAAAGTAATTGATTTGGGAAATCTACATCTTTCTTCAATATATATAACTTAGTTGGCGGGTCAGACTCATCTGGAATTTCGGTTTGGTTATATGACAACAAAAAAACTGAAATTAGGTTTGGTTATAGGATGTTTTAGAAGTTTTTTATTTTTCTATTTTATATTCTTTCTTCAATTTTTATGCATAACTAATTTAGTTACCATGTTGTGACCAATTTTGGTCATCAAACATTAAATTACGCATTACCTTAATAAAATCAAAATTAAAACGTTAACTATTGTTTGTTCCTTATGGGCCGTAGCCAACAAGATATGGATTGTGAGGTAACCCTAATACTTTTTTCTATAAATAGTGTTTGTTAACTGTCAGTTTGGCCATTCTACATAGCGGTGTTATTGTATGCACTATGATATACATGCAAGTAGCTTAAGATTTTGTTTCTACCATTGGATAAGGATTAGCTTTATTGTAGAGGATTGGTGGGATATATATTGAGAACTGTCTCTGATGTGCGATTAATTAAGATACAGTCTACGCTAGGGTTGAGTTTAATGGTGATTTCTTCATGGTTTCGTGGATATTTTACTTATCTAAGGTCCTAGGCTATAAATTCATTCTCTGAAATGTTTATCTTCATATCATATCACTTTATATGAGTTTCTTTGCTTTGTTTTATTAGGTCGGAGAGTCTACAGAGGTTTGGTTTTGGTACACAGTTTTTTTTTTTTTGGGAAGTGATTTGCTTGATAGCTTCGATTTTTGATTGAATCTCATGATAATCGCCATCAGCTGTCTTTTGTTTCATGTCTTATTAGTCCTTGAACTTCTTCTCATCTAATGATTTTATATTGTGAATGACATTATAACGAATTCCCCATGGGGGAATCAAAACGAATGATGGAGACTGCTAATGTGCGTGCATTCTTAAATTTCTGCATAAGCATGCTGCAATCAAATAGTACTCCAGACACTGCCTTTCTTTAATAAGTTTATGAAGTTATTGACAACAGAGTCAACCTTTTTCACGGTTTAACTTTGGTAGAAATTCTGAATATGTGCTTAACAACATTTACGTTAGTAAGATAGTACTATTTCACAATGGTGTTTTAGCGTTGGTTGATTATCAAAAAGACAATAACTAAACAGTGAGATAGATTTGCAGAAAGTATATGTTTGTGTTAAAAAAAGAGAGTATATGTTTGTGTTTTTCTCTTCGTGGGTATCTTCGTAAAACCAATGCATGAACATACATGGATCAAGCTTTAGTTACGTTATTCCATGCATTGAATCATTTACTCTCCAGTCTCCATTTTACAGAGGTTGCATGTAACATAGAATAGGTTCTCAAACAATATGCAGCGTTTACTGTACGTAAAAATTTTAATAGTCTCTTTGTCTTGGTTCTCCTTAACTTAGAATGATCATATGTTTACTCTTATTCATGCTCCTGCAGCTTTGTGATGAAAACAGAGTCTTAATCTACGAGTGTTCCTCCTATATAGCTTCATAGTTCAGCTCTATATATTTGTCTCTAAAGGAGTAAATGTATAGTAAGGTTTTAGCCTTTAGGTTTGGTTTGAATTTGTTATTCGATAGTTTGTTCCCATTAATTATAACTGTGTTGTGAATTTGGGAGATTTTTTTTCTTCAGTGTATCATCTTTGGCCTCTTAATATCTTATGAGACACAATGCTACTTAGATAAAAATACTGAATAATTCATACAATCGTATTTGATGAAGAAAATAATTTGTATAGATCCAGTTTTCTGAATTTATACAGCAAATCAACATACAATATCACTGTTACTACATCATGCAATAATGGTTGGTATACTCTAAGCATTGAGAAAATAACCACGTATTTGACAAACTAACCACGCGATTGGTATTGTCTAGATTAGACACAACAAGAGATAAACAACAATATTTTGTTCATTACAATTGTGTTTTATTAACAAACATATTAATTTTGATTTTAAAGAAAGTCAGATTATAAAACCACTAGATTAAGACCCGCGTATACGCGGGTTTATTTTAAGATTTTGTAATAAAATCATGGAAAAGTATTAAACCAAATTTGATCATTTTAAAGTAAACAGAATAATATTAAAAACCCGATAAAAATATTTAAATAAAATAAGATCGGTAACCTTTTTACGTTTTTATTGTAATTGATATTTTTTTTGAATTCATGATATGAAAAATGAATTAATTTGTTTTATTTTTATTTTTATCCAATATAGAAAGACTTATATATGTCTAAATATGATCAACTGATTAATTAATTCAACAAAACTTTATTATTCCATTCAAGAGATTTCAATTGATGAAATCTTTATTTAATAATTTTTTACCTAACAATATTGAAAATTAAACTATTTAAAATTAGAATATCGGTTCATTATATTTTCTTAATATTAGTTAGTTGCTTGATGATGTCAAAAAAAAAGTTAGTTGCTTGATAATTAATTTGTTAGTTTTCTATTTATATTGTTTCTTTCTCAATTTTGTTTTTGACTCAGACCATTATAAATTTTCATTTTCATTATTAGTTAGTTTTTTTTTAATTATTTTTCTAGTTTTTATATCTGTTTAACATTTTTCCAATTAACATGTCTTCACCGGATCAAATACATGTAACGACAATAATTTTGATTTCTATCCAACCGATATAGAGTTAGATACATGTATCGACAATAATTTTGATTTCTATCCAACTAATATAGAGTTAAATATTATTCATTGATACCATGAATTTTAAATACATGATTTTTTATGAGAGAAAAGATTATACAAAAGATAGAAGCACATAATTGAATCGCAATAGCTTATTATATATTGTTTTTTTTCCTGTTCATAATGGGAATATAAACACATATCGCAATTTTGTGAGTTATAAAAATCATGCGTATTGCTATCATGTTGTTTGCTTTGATGAGTTTGTGAATGAGAAAAAAAGACTACTTTAACTCTCTTTTTATAGGGGTTCATGTAACTTATTCCATGCAGTTATAGGAAATTTAGTTTACCTAACCTATTTCATGTACTAATAGGATTTTATTTATTTCATTAATTTGAATCTTATATGTGTTTGGATAATATAAATTTGATGAATGGGAAACCTTTTTCTATTAGGATATGACAAATATAATTTTTTTTCTTTTAACTATAAAAGATTAAAATTTCGTTTTTTTTCCTTTATCTATTTTTTTTTAATTATATTTTTTTCCTTTTTTTCTAAGACACATGTCACGATCTTAACGGACATAACATTAAAAGTGACACATGTCGCAATCCTAAATTTTATAAAAATCCTACGTGTCGCAACCACGTCGCGCGCATCCAGCTTTATATAATAAGATATCCTTAAGTTTTTATTTCTATAAACGAATTGAATTCCGCGCACAGCGCAGAAAAGTGGTGACCGTATATATATGAAATATAAATCAAATAAATTTATATTGTATCTAAGAATCAACATAATATTAATTTGTTGATTTATATACACCATATCATATATTAAAGTGAAAATAATATTTCATATTGAAGATACGTTGAAAATGAAAATTGTAACTATGTAAAGATTTTGGAAAACTAATGAATAATAGCTATAGAAAATAGAAAAAACATGTACTTGAATAACACAAAAATTTAATGAAAACTTTAATTCTTTTAAATTACACGAAATTCCAAGAACTCAATACCCCTTAGTAAATAAGCCCAATATCACCAGACTAAATGGGCTCAATGTTACCATGACATCTCAATGGTACGTGCGAACGTGAGAAAACGACAGAGGCCAAAAATAATACTACAACATGCAGATTAAAGAAAATACTTAGACGACAAATACGTAGATTTAGTTATGTTTTACAACAACATTTTAACTATGGAATGGACCCGCCAATGACAATAAACCTAACCTCAAAAACTGCAGGCTCTCGTAGGTGATGATGATGTGGACTAGAATATATAGAGACATGATTGAGTTTGGAGTTTAACATGGAATTAAAATCAACATTTTATGTAAAAACTAAAATTTATAGAAAAATACTGTAGGTCGTTGTCCACGAATTTATATATTTACACTTATTTTCGAATAAAATGTGATTGGATTATTACATATAGACTTTATATTTTCTTTCTGTACTTTATTTCAGTTTTCATTAAATTATATATCAGATATAGATGTGACTGTTAATAGTTATGCCAGTGAGTGATATTAAAGTTCTGGAAACACACAAATTCCCTCTAGATTATTGATTTTAATGATTGATTGATTTCTTTTAAGTTGCACATACACACACACACAAACAATTCTTTTCACATGATTTAACCACAAGGACACTTGAATTTTCTGCCACATGTCTTCATGTTGGCGCAACAAGATCCAAACTTGAATTTAAGGATCCTAAAGAGTGTGCTTCATGTACGAGGTGATATTTATTAATCATGTTTTTATTATGTCAACAGAAATGAAACATCCAGAAATTAAAAAAGAAAACAAGCTAAATCACACGAGTTCGATTTCCGATGTCGGATCGACCTGTTCGTCTATTGGCCCCATTCGACATAACTTGATGACAATCATAAAACAAAGGCCACATAGAAAACTAATAACAACACACATTACTATACCTAAGACCACTAGTTTGGGACTGACACGAGAGGCTTCGTCAACCCCCACAGTAAGCAGCTGCTCGTTTCCCATCTCTAATCCGCTTCAATGCCGCCGGAAAGAAAAAAACGTAAGATCATCGTCAATTAGGAAAACTGTAAAGAGAGAGTACAGAGGTGGTGAATTTTCTGTGTTATATTTCTCATCACAAGCTTTACAATATATACACCTAAAAGTGTATCTCTTACGATCTAGAAATAAGTCAAGATTCCTAAAACAACATATTCACAAATCAAGACAACTTGATAACCACGTTTGAAGAGATATTCCAGTGCAACTCAAGACTTCATACTCGGCCCAACTATCATATTCGGGCTCAGTCCAACACCCCCCCAAGTTGGAACTTGGTAGAATGCAGATTACGAGTTCCCAACTTGGACATGATCAATTCAAACTCACGACATCCAAGTGCTTTTGTAAACACATCGGCGAGTTGATCGGTTGTTTTCACTTTGCGTGTGACAATCGTCCCATCTTGCACTGCATCGCGAACACTGTGACAATCCATTTCCACATGTTTTGTTCGTTCGTGAAACACCGGATTAGCTGCGATATACAACGCCGCTTGATTATCACAATGCAAATCCATCGGACCATCATGTTTCACGCCAAAACTATTGAGTAATTGATGCAGCCATTTCAGCTCATCTAATGTCTTTGACATACATCTATACTCCGCCTCAGCTGAAGAATGAGAAACAATGTCTTGTTTCTTCGATTTACATGACACAGGTGAGTCACCAAGAGTCACAAACCAACCACTAATAGAGCGTCTTGTTAACGGACATCCTCCCCAAACAGAATCACACCAGCCATGTAACTTCATTTCACAAGCAGAGCTTAACAAAATCCCTTGTCCAGGCGTGCCCTTCAGATATCGCACCACACGCAAAGCAGCATCCCAATGATCAAACCGCGGAAACTGCATAAATTGCGACAGCACATGAACATGATAAGTCAGATCTGGTCGTGTTGCATTCAAGTATATAAGACGTCCAACCAGCCGCCTATACTTCTCCGGAGAGCCAAGTAACGGACTATCAGACAATGCCAACTTGTGTTGCTGTCCAATAGGTTGCGCCACCGGTTTTGCTCCCAACAAGCCGACTTCACCAATGATGTCCAGTGTATACTTTCGTTGGCAAAGAAAAATCCCTTCTGGATTTCGTGCTACTTCAATACCAAGGAAGTATTTCAAAGGACCTAGATCCTTCATGTGAAAGCATTGTCCCAAATACTTTTTAAATTCAGCAATAGCAGATGAATCATTCCCACCTATGATGAGATCATCTACGTATACCAATACGTACATTTCCGATGATCCTTTGGTCCTTGAGAAAAGCGAGTAGTCAGCGTATGACTGAAGAAAACCATACTTCTTAAGAGCATCTCGTAGCTTTGCAAACCAACACCGTGGAGCTTGCTTAAGCCCATAAAGCGATTTTCTCAATTGACAAACAAGAGTCGGATCATCGTTTCTAAAACCAGGAGGCGGTTTCATGTACACCTCCTCTTCGAGATCTCCATGCAAAAACGCATTATGCACATCCATTTGGTGGAGTTCCCATTTCTTTGCTGCTGCAACACCCAAGAATACTCGAATCGTCGTTATCTTAATGACTGGAGCAAAAGTCTCAGTGTAATCAACACCTTCTTGCTGATTGTTTCCGAGTATTACTAAACGTGCCTTGTACCTCTCGATCGTACCATCTGACCGATACTTGATCTTGTACACCCATTTACAGCCTATTGCTCGCTTTCCAGGCGGTAGTTTTACCAAATCCCACGTCTTATTCAGTTCCAAAGCTCCAATCTCTACTTTCATCGCATCACACCAAACTTCGTAAACTACAGCATCTCGAAACAGAGTAGGTTCTGTCCCAGCTGTTATCGCAGCAAGAAGTGCTCGATGACTTTGTGAGAAACGACTACTATCTAGATAATCAGACAGAGGATAATTGATATCATCTGTAAATTCCACAGTGACTTCTAGTGGATCGTCTTTGTCATGAACTGTATGTAAGACAAAGTCTTTAAGGCGTGTGGAAACTTGTTTCTCACGATGTCCACGCCCCAATTCTTTGACACTAACATCCTGTGCGGCTTCAATCTCCTTTTCTGCAACGGGTAGAGGCAAGGCAACCTCCACTGTTTCAACAATCTTTGTAGCAGAGATTTCATTTTCTGCAATTTCTTCACTCTCTGCATTTTCTGCAGTTTCTTCATTCTCTGCATTTTCTGCAGGTTCCGATTCAACAGCTGGAATCTCAGCATTAATGGCTGGATTTTCTGACACAACGGTTGATGTTTCACCAAATACTTCTGCATCATCACGCCATTGTTCAAAATCCCCCATGTTTTGCCAATCAGTGCTCTGATTTTCACAAATCTCTGAGCTAAATGGAAATGTGTTTTCAACAAAAACAACATCTCGAGACACAAATACTTCTTCTGTCTCCAAGTCAAACAAGTTCCATCCCTCTTTCCCAAAGGGATAGCCAACAAAGATACATTTTCTGCTTCTAGGTTCAAATTTATCACCACTTCTTCTTTGTCGATGTGCAAAAGCCAAAGAGCCAAACACCTTTAAGTTGTCCCGTGTATAAGCTCGAAAGGTGTTTTTCCATTCAATATACTCGATGGTGTGCGATTGATCAAGTGTGCCGCCGTCAAGATGCTCTCTCCCCAAAACTTTGTAGGAAGTGAAGACTGAAATAGAATTGCACGAGCTATATTCAGTATGTGTCGGTGCTTCCTCTCCACTCTTCCATTTTGCTGGGGCGTGCCCACACATGATGTTTGATGAACTATTCCAAGTCCACAAAACTCACTGCTGAGACAAGTAAATTCTGTCCCATTGTCGCTTCTTATCACCTTTATTTGTTTGTTAAATTGTCGTTGTACCATTGCCATGAATTCTCGCAGAGTTTTCCCTACTTGCGTCTTATTTTGCAAGAGATAAACCCACACGGCTCTCGAAAAATCATCAACAATCGTGAGGAAGTAGTATGAGTTACACAAGCTTGCGATCCGATAAGGTCCCCACAAGTCGACATGAATCATATCAAAAACACCATCACTTTTATTATCACTTGAATGAAACATGTCTCGACATTGTTTTGCTTTCAAGCAAGTACTACAACTGGAAAAATCTTTAACTCTAGAGCTAACAACGGGAAGCAAATCAAAAACACCATTAGACGGATGTCCTAGCCGTTGATGCCACACATCCTCAGCCTCGTCTTTATTTAAACGGAAAGCATTAACTCTCGTCAAACGTCGAAAGAAATATAGCCCATCTCTAAGCTCCCCCACTCCACTCAGGTTCCTCGTTGTACGGTCCTGTAGTACACAGCCCTTGTTAGCAATTTGTAGAACAATATCCAAATCCGCAATAAGTTGAGACACTGAAATCAAATTGCACTTTAAATCCGGCACAAACAATACATTTCTCAGCTCAAACTCTTCATCAAACACAACTGTTCCCTTTTCCCGACACACACTTTGTGTCCCATTCGGTAGTCCCACAGAACACGGCAGAGCATATTTCTGATCAACCAGAAACTCTATGTATCCTGTCATATGATTAGAGGCCCCTGTATCCAAAACCCATTCAGAGAGAAAGGACTTACCATTGAGTCGTGGAGTTGTGATTTTATTTTCGTCAAGCAATTTGATTAGCGTGGTCCACTGATCATTGTTTAACCCAGCATAGCCATGCTTCTCTGCCTCAGCGCTTGTTTCTCCAACGGCACTGACCACTGCAGCATTAGCTCGTATCATTCCACCACGACCACCACGCCCACCACGGCCTGAACGTCCTCCTCCTCGTCCATTTTGTTGTGGTTTTTCAGTCCACCAAGATGGATATCCTATCACTTGGAAACACGTCTCCTCCGTGTGGCCAATCTTCTTACAAGTTTTGCAAATTAGTTTGCTCTTGTCTTTGACAGCAGCACCAAAGTTCTTAGTTAGAGCCACAAAAGCGGTTTGAGAGCCTTGGTGTTCTCTTCCTCTTGTCACTGTGTCGATTCTCTCCACAGATTTTACTTTTGCATAAACTTGATTCATGTTGGGCAACGGATCAGTGCTGATTATGGAGGCTCTCACTGCTCCATAAACATTGTCATCAAGTCCCAACAAGAAGTGATGTATGCGATCATCTTCTCTCTTCTTTTCAAATTCTGCACTTAGGTTACAAGTGCATTTTCCACAGCGACACACAGGTGCAGGATCGTAGTTTGAGAGATCCTCCCACAACATATGCAGCTTTCCAAAGTAATCAATCACACTGTCATTACCTTGCCTTAATCGAGCAAGTTCTGCCTTGATTTCTTGGATTCTCGGACCATTCCCTTCCGAAAATCTATCCTTGATCTCTGTCCAAAGCTCCTTTGGGTTCTCCTTGTTTGCCAAGGTTCTCCTGATCTTAGGTTCCACCGTATTCAAGATCCATAGAGACACCATGGAGTTTGCAGATACCCAATCTTCATACTCCGGTGCATTCTCTTCAGGTTTCACCACAGATCCATCCATGAATCCGAACTTCTTCTTGACCTTCAGCGCTGACTTCAACGCTTGAGCCCACTCATCAAAGTTATCTCCATTGAACTGTATCTGAGCAATGATCGCTCCAGGGTTTTCGTTGGCCGCCAGTTGATAAATCGGCGCAACTGTCTTCACTTGTTCAAGCGCCTTCACTCGCTCAATCATTTTTCCTTCACCACTCATTGCACTCGTTCTTGTTTAGAACCTAAGCTCTGATACCATGTAAAGAGAGAGTACAGAGGTGGTGAATTTTCTGTGTTATATTTCTCATCACAAGCTTTACAATATATACACCTAAAAGTGTATCTGTTACGATCTAGAAATAAGTCAAGATTCCTAAAACAACATATTCACAAATCAAGACAATTTGATAACCACGTTTGAAGAGATATTCCAGTGCAACTCAAGACTTCATACTCGGCCCAACTATCATATTCTGGCTCAGTCCAACAAAAACAATAGAAATTGGAAGTTGAAACAAGAGAGGAATCAAAATATCATCACTGAAATAAAAAGAAAACTTACTGTTGAAACAGAGGAATTGAGAAGAAACACTTCGATCACCGGCGAAATTTCAGGTTCCCAAACTGTATGCAAAAGAAATTGCGAGGACAACAGAGTGATATCAGAACGAAATAGAAAAACAAAAACTAATGAAGAGAGAAGGATTATCAAAAGAAAAGAGTCAGCAGTTTAAATATATAGAATCTGATTTGAAAAAAAAAAATTTAAATACTGATAGCGATTGGTAACCAAATCAAATTAACATTATTTTCTTTTTCTCTATGCAATGTGATGATGATGAACAAATCCATACTATAATTAGACCCTAAACTCAAAAGTGTAGGCTCGTTGGTGACGATGAACAGATCCATACTATAAAATTATATACTTAAAAAGTTAAATGAAACTTACTGTTGCCTTTCTTTGCAATATTCATTTTTGGTTGTCTTTATCATGCCATATTTGTATTTGATTTCTATTCCGTCTTGAACCAAATAACGTCTATAAGACAGCAAAACTAAATTTTAGTTAACAACAATAATTCCAAAAGGAAGAAACGAAATATTACAAAATTCAACAATCACTTATGAAGCAGCAATAGTCACAAGCTTCTTCAACCTCAGTTTAACGAATTGCTGACTTTCTATTTCTGTCTATTTTTTGCAATCGCACTTTAAAAAGAACGCGACCTAGAACCATATTAGTCTTAACAGATCAGGTCAGCCACGTATTGTTAATTTGTTTTTCATCGCATGTATGGTGGACTCCTAAGTCCTTTTAATTTAGATTTAGGATTAGGTTAGTACTCACGTTTTCTTTATAAAATGTCTTCTTATCAAAAATAGTTAACGTTTAAAATAAGGAACAATATATAAAAAGAATTACCATATCATAGACTTTGGACAAATTACATTCTAGTTTAGATTTTGTCATTTTGTGTAATAATAACCACTTTCGCCTTAGCTTTCTCTCTTTCTCTCTCACGCATTGAATTCTTTCTTTTTTTATATAAAGTTTTTCTATCTCTTTCTCTTTTATAAGTTTTCTCCCCTTTCTCACTATTTTTGCTTTGGAAAAAAATTGAATGAAACTACCCTACTAACAAATATATTTTTCCGAACATAGCAGTGTTTAAAAAATTTAAACGGATACATATGTTTAAAATTCTGATTTATGTAGATGTATATATATTTTTTTAAGCCTGATAGTATGTTAAATTTATTAAGTTCTATATATATAGTAGCTATACTCTCTAACGTCGTGCGTCATATGTGTCCAAAGCAATTCTGTGTGGTTGTTGTATGTGTTCGTATACTTTGTATAACTGATAGAGTTCTTTCGTATACTTTGTATAACTGATAGAGTTCTATACAATGTTGAACTTACTCACTACTCAGTTTTGTGGTATGTTGAAGCATTTCCGGTCTTCATTGAATCGTGTGCCCTCCGTTTCGTTTGTCCCGTATTTTAATTTTGCTAGAACAAACCTTTTTATCTTAGTTAAGTAGAAACATAAAGAAATGATAGATGCTGTACGCCTATATACGTAATGGAATACGAATATGATATCTATTAAAAATGAAAAAAAAAAACATAGACTATATCAGTTAGCTAATCATCGCCATGCACGTATCAAGCAAGTATCTCCACGTTGACTACAATCTTTTTTTCCTTTGGATCAACCCAGTGATTATAGTTTCGTCCGTATCTCCACATGCATAGACTTGCGTCTTTCTTTTTTATTTTTGGTTCTGGTCAAAATACTGTCATTCCCCCCATTAATTTTCATACATATACGGTATAAAGTTTCAAGATATACGTTTACCAAAAAAGAAAAAAAAAACGTTTCAAGATATATGACCAGGCATTAATGATCTTCCCATAATTGTTGTCTACAATATGAGCCAGTTAAAAAAATTTCAGTCAAATGTCTCTGCTTCCTTTATCAGATTAAAAAACAAAATATATTAAAGTTAATGCGAATTAACATTGTAATATGTATATAAATACAAGAAAGGGCTTTCATTTTTGGGGAAGCAAAACTAATAAAATGTCAACAACAATTAGAAAAATGTCGTTTGTTATGAATCTTTTAACTTTTCTGTTCTCGGCAGCTATAGTTTGTTCCGATCAAAGCAAAGTGCCCCTCAGATCTTTCAAGGTCAGTGTTAACACAAAAATTGAAACACATTGTCTCCCTTCTGTTATTTTAAACTATATTTTCTTTAACGGAATATATCATGGATTGAGTTCATATTGTTTACTTATTATTGTTATTGTTTTATTTTCGCAGATAGGTGAAAATGTTACTTATGATTGCATAAATATTTATAAGCAACCAGGACTTGATCATCCCTTACTCAAAACCCACAAAATTCAGGTGCATGATCATCCCTTACTCAACATTTTGGGTTTTACAAAATATAATTTTGAATCATATCTATTTTGACCATACTTTATATTTTATTTTAGATGAAACCAACAGTTTCAAAAATTGAATTAAAGAATCAAACTGGCAACAACAATACATATAAGAAAAAAATCGGTTGTCCAAATGGAACTGTCCCTATATTGAGAAATACAAAAGAATTCATCACAAACTCACAACTTTTCGCTGAAAAATACTTTCATCCGCAATCAGCCGATAATCCTGGAACCCATGTAAGCACTTATCTCAATTCCGATAAATTTTGATACATTAGTTTTTTTATTTTATTTTTGCAACCTGATATGTTAGATCTAATTATGTATATTATGACGGTTCTTGGTAGATTGCTGGAGTAAGGACACGCAATGGTCCATTTCATGGTGTAGAAGCTCGGTTTGATGCATATAGCATAAACATCGGAAAAGATCAAGCCTCGTATAACCAAATATATATAGGCAGTGGACTAAATAATCAGATCAATTTTATCTCAGTGGGTTCGATAGTATGTATTATATTGTATTCATTTGTTTCTTTCTTTTAGATCATTCATATCTTTAATAGTCTGGGTTAAGATATAGTTTTAAAGTATTGTAAGTCTTTTTACAGATAAATCCAAGTTTATTTGGCGATGGACGTGTTTGGAACTATGGATTTTGGCAGGTGTGTGTGCATGCAAACTGTTTTACTTATGGGGAAATTATTCGTGATGATTATTTATGGTGAAATCCCTTGATCAAATCACATGTATTCATGTAAGATATTAAATATGATTTGATAGGGCAAAAATGGGAAAGGATGTTACAATATGGCATGCTCAGGGTTTGTTCAAGTGTCACGTGATGTTCCATAGCTGGACCCAATGATCTTCCACCAGGAATCCCCGGTTGGTTGCGTTATTCTATCCATCAGGTAAATTCCTAATTTTTAAGTTTTTCTTGCTCAAAAAATTTCTTTTGGTCTTTAATATTGAACTATTTATGAATTTAAAATTAATCTTTATAGATCAAATTACTCATATACCTTACATTACATGTATGTATATATATATATATATATATATATATATATTTGATTTTTCTAATACTAATAAACATTTTTTTATGTTTCCCAATTTATACAAAAGGATAAAAATACAAGAAATTGGTGGCTTTCCCAATTCATAATGCCAAATGGACCTAACATAAATATTGGGTATTGGCCAAAAGAGTTATTCAACCTTTTAGATAATGGTGTAAATATGGTTGGAGTTGGAGGTGTGGTTCATGCTTCACGTTCTGGTTCAAGTCCTCCGTTGGGTAATGGTAAATTTCCGACTAGTCGTCCCAAAGATTCAGCAATTTTTGCAAATATTGAAGTCGTGGATTTTGACTATGTGCAGCGTAAAATTAATCAATTTCCTATAGAGATGTTGCTAGATAACAATAAATGTTATGGATTGAGAATTGGTAGGAGATTTTTACATGAGAGACTTGGTTACTATATTAGCTATGGTGGTCCGGGGGAAAATTCTTGTGGAATTTGATATTTTCATATATAATCTTTAAATCTGGCATTTTATAAACTAAATATAAACTAATAAAATGCAAATTGTTATTTAGTTAATTTTTTTTCTTTCTCACGGTTAACATCTTTTAAACTTCATTTCTCTATTAGCAACCTTTGTTACGAGTAAAGGAAATAGTCTACAATTGTCCCCATAAAAATGAAAATTACGAGAAATATAAATTGTACGGTACAATTACGAGAAAAAAATCTCCGTATTATAAATATCCCGTCCCATTCAGTCGTGAACTATGCAAACATGATAAACGAAATTAAAACAAAAGAAATAGAATTTGAATTTTAATCACAGATAAAAAGAAAAAGTAAATACATTCTCTGACTAATTTTCTCAAAGTAACAGGGTTCGCAAAAGCTCTCTAATCGCAAAGATTGGATGTGAATTTTTTCTCCTTTACATAGACTAAAACTGATGAAAACTAATAACTAAGAAACTATGAGCAGTAGACTCTTTTTGATGACTCAGCATTTTTGGCTGATCTTGTGTACATAGTTTAAATTTTTATGATTTATAGTATGTTTCTAGGTTAATAGCTAGATAAGCAAGGTGGTTTTTGGCTTTTCAAATATTCAAGATCCAATATTGTTAGATGTTTGGGTCTCTAATTTATATAAGCAAATTTGGGGATCTATGTTCATGACGGGATCTGACTAGGTCGTATAACAACTATAG